ACCTTTTCCCTTCTAAAAATCCTCAAATCCAAACAGATATACCTCCTCTTAACTCTCTTAATACCCTTTGAAGACAAAGTTCAGAAGAGAAATTTGCTTCTTCTACCTCATTACAATGTTAGCACTACATCACAATTCCAATTGCTCAAATGAATTTACCTTTTGAGATTTCTCTTGAATTCTTTTGCTTGCATAAAACAGAAGCAGATAGCAGAGTGGATCAAAAACCAGAATCCTACAATATGCTGTTTATAAGAAACACACTTGAAGCAGAGACATATACATAGAGTAAAGGTAAGGGGCTAGAGCAGAATCTATTATGCATCAGCTGAAGTAAAAAAAGCAAGGGTAGCAATCATGATCTTAGACAAAGCAAAAGCAAAAACAAATCTAATTAAAAGAGATAAGCAAAGAAATGACATCTTGCTAAAAGGTACCATATACAATGAAGTAATATCAATACTAAACATATATGCACCAAATGGTATAGCACCCCAATTCTTAAAGGTTCTAAGCCTCTATCCTTTTTTTGCCTTTTGAAATGCTATGTTCCAAGCTCTCCCCTCATTTTTAGGAGAAGTGCCAGGGCTTATATGAGCCTGATTGTATAGCTAGGTCCTGATTAGTATGAACAATTAATTCTTTGAAGTGTCTGAATTATCTGAATTCACACTATTTGAAATTATAATTATATGTAAAATATGGTAATTGTTCCCAGGTCAAAGAACTGGAAATGTTCAATATTTGTAGCTTCTTCAAGTGCAAGGATTTTGAGAATAATAAATAAGCACTGGTTTTCATGGAAATACCCTTCAACGTTACTTTCCAATAAAAGTGTTGGGCAATTCTTAAATACTAAATCCAGGTTGAGTTTTTTTCTTTCTTGGTAATGTACGTTCTAGAAGGAATCCTTTTTCAGAGTGAGCCCGTTGTAACCACATTAAAAATATGTTGAGCAATATATTCACCTTTTCTTTCTATTATTTTCTTTAAAACATTAAGATATTTAGCTGCTGTGACCTCATCTCTACTAGCTGTCCCTGCTATGATAACTTTAATACTATGCAACTGAATTGCATTTTTAAAGTGATCAAACCTACAAATTCTTACAGTAAAAGTTTCTTTTTTATCCACTTCATTTTCATTGTCTTTCACTGCCTCAAATAAACTTAAATCACTGTATGAATGGGTGCTCTGGGAGCAAAATGTTTTTGATTACAATCCTCAATCCATGCAGCTAAAAGACACTCCATTTCTATCACTGTAACACTTCTATTTCTGATAGTTGTTTGCAAACCACAAAAAGCTGATGCAACTTTGTCTCTGCCTTTTATTTCACCTGCATGCTTTATAGTACTTCATACTCTAGATCCAGGCATTCCAACATCTTATCATTTACTATGACTACTTTCATGCCATCTAATTATAACAAATTTTTGTTCCAATGTAATTAAAAGTCTCTTCTTTGTTGTTCTGGCAGTGTTTCCTTTTGAAGTATTCTTCCTTTTTATTTCCTTTTGGGGGGGGGCGCTGTTTGGCTAGGCAGTGGGGTTAAGTGACTAGCCCAGGGTCACACAGCTAATGAGTGTTATGTGTCTGAGGCTGGATTGGAACTCAGGTCCTCCTGACTTCAGTGTCAGTGCTCTATCCACTGTGCCACCTAGCTGCCCCAAGTATTCTTCCTTTTGTCCATTCTGTTAAGGGTTCATTAAAAAAAGTTACAATTACTGTTGGTAACATGGTATGTCATAGCACATCACATCCACATGACTAGGCAAATGTGGACTGATGGGATACTAGCATGTTAAAACCCTTGACTAGCTCACAATGCATCACATTATTTGAAGTTCTGGCTTGAAATAAATGTGATTTAGTATCATTTTATAATTTGCATGAAACAGAATTTCATATCAATAGAAGCTGGATTAGTCATGATAACTTAGTTGTAGCTCCTTGGTACCTGAAATTCTTTCTGGATACTTGTGGCACTTTTTTCTTTGACATGAATACTATGGATTTTGGATATGACACTCTTGGGACTTTTCCTTTTGGAGTTTCTTTCAGGAACTGATTGATGGATTCCTTCTGTTGTCATTTTGCCCTTTGGTTCTAATAGATCTGAGCAGTTTCCATTTATGATTTCTTGAAAAATTAGTATCTAGGCTATTTCTTTAAAATGATAATTTTCAGGGTGTTCCAAGGATATCGATTAACTAAAATTTATTTTTTCTCTTTCTCATACCCTCCCCCCAACGAAAGAAGAGAAAAACAAAACCTTTAAAACAAATATATACAGTCATACAAGAATCCAATGATTCTTAAATTCTTTTTCCTTGACCTTTTATAAGGTCTTTATCTCCTTTCATAAGGGTTAGTTGCTTTTTATTTCAGTTATCTTTAATTTTCTTCTATTTTTCAATATTTTGATTTGTTCTAATATTTATTGTTATTTTATAGAGTCACTGATTTGTTTGCTCTCTTCTAATTCTCAAGGAGTTCATTACTTGGATAAGGTTTACCAGTTTCTAAGACATACATTTATCTTCTAAATCTATTCGAGTTTTTTTTTGTTGTTTCTTTTCTAAATCTCTTGCTTCATTTGTTCTAGGTATTCATGTAGTTCTTGTTGAAAATTCATTTTCCTCCCTTAAATCTCTGGCTTGCTATTGTTAACGGCATCATCTCCTTTGGTTTGAGATTTTTTTTTTTGGCAAGGCGATGGGGTTAAAATGACTTGTCCAGGGTCACACAGCTAGTGAGTATCATGTGTCTGAGGCTGCATTTGAACTCAGGTCCTCCTGACTCCAGGGCTGGTGCTCTATCCACTGTACCATCCAGCTATCCCCATTTGTTTGAGATTTTGAAGTACTTCTGGAGCTACAATAATTCTTTTTTTTTTTTTTTAAATAATTCTTTATAGTAGTCTCTGCAGCCTTAGTTCCCGAGCTGGGGCATCGTGCAAGTGCCAGGCTTTTAGGTGGAGTGGTCAGTGCTTTATCACTTGGTTTCCCATTCTGATCTCTGTGCTCCTAGGGTTAGGGTTCATCCAGATTTGTGAGGTTTGGCATACGTCAGGGCCCTCTTTGGCATTTCAGGTCAGTGGGCTAGGGATTACAGAGTACAGGACTATCCTTGTTCGAGCACTGCTGCTCTTGGTGGTTTCGAAGTTTCTAGCTATGGGTTTCAAACTACTCTGAGGCTTTCCCTGAGAAGCCTCCACTCCTGTTACCTCAGACAAGACTTGTCTCAAAGGCTACTAGTATTTCTGGACCATTTCTAGTCCTGCATAAAGGCTTATATCCTAAGTGTGTGTGGGGCTGGGGGCAGGAGTTGTGGGTTTCTGGCTGATTTTTTGTATAGTTCTTTGGAAGAAGAACTTACTGCAGTTTTTAATTATATTTCTTTTTTTTTTTCATTATATTTTTTGACCAATCTGGTGCAAATTTTGACTGGAGTAGGAATAGAGGAGCTGATCTGCCTGCCAGAAATCTGATCATTACCTTAATTTTGTATATCAGCACCTCTCTGGTGAGAGTGGAGAGGTTTGATTTCTATCATTGTTGACAACCTCAAGTTCCTAGAGATTGCAGAGCCAAGAAATTGCACCACCATAGGAGGTAGATGAACACTACCTGTCCAAATATCTATACTTCTTCCAACTAGCTCCGTAGGTTTTCACCAATTTAAGAACAATAGCCAATAAAAACCTTTCAACAAGGTGGACTACCACGTCCAGAGCTGGTAGAACCTCCCAATTCTCAGTAACTTAAGATGGACTTCAACAAAACATGATTAATCACCTTCCATGAAAGATGAATATCAACTTACTAACCAAACTTATGAAACTAACTTGGAGAAATAGTTAATGAAAGCAGTTTGCAAACATAGAACAATGATATAATCATTATTTTAAAGCTAAGACAATGGCCAATAGAGTTGGGATCCAAAAGATCTCAACAGGCTAGCGCATTAGGCTAAATCTAATGAGATGATAATCAAAAGGGATAAATACAAAGTCTTACACTTGAGTCCAAAAAAATCATCTTCATAAGTATAAGATTAGATTACTCATCAGAATGAGGGGTTCAGAGAGAAATGATAAGAAGGGGGAGGTACAGAGAGTTCTGAAGGATCTGGAAGTTTTGGTGGACTGACAATTCAATAAGTCAGCTGTGTGATGTGGCAGCCAAAAAAGCTGATGACATATAGGGCTACATGAATAAAAGCATAGCTTCGAGGTGATAGTCCCACTGTACTCTACCCTGGTCAGACAACAGATGGAGTACTGCTCACTTCTGGCTACAATGGTTACTTTGGTAAGTCAGAAATTGTCTAGAAGTGGGTAACCAGTATGATAGAAGGTCTTGAGTCCAAGTAACAAGATCAGGTGCGGGAACTTGGCATGTTTATCCTACAGTACAGAAGACTGTACTACACTGTAAAATCTGGGACAGCTAGGTGGCACAGTGAATAGAGCTCTGGCCTTGGAGTCAGGAGGACCTGAGTTCAAATCCAGCCTTAGACACTTAACAGTTACTAGCTGTGTGACCTTGGGCAAGTCACTTAACCCCAATCGCCTCACCAAAAAAAAAAAAAAGAAAAATACACTGTAAAATCAAAGATGGCAACTATAAGCTTGAGTACAACTGAGTTAAGTAGTTTTTAGTTATTAAAAACTGAAGCCTCACACTGGTCCTTAATCAACTGGCAAAAGGCACTTGCAACGCAAAGTTTTGATTCTGGAATTTCTTTTTAGTATTATTCATAATTTTTAATAGCCAAATATAAGTATTAAAGTAGTACAGCACATGACAGAACACCTCAGACAACACAAAGCCTGAGTACTATTCAGAGAATCACTGACTCTCTTTCTTGTACTAAGATATGCCCATAACAGAATGGCACAATGTAGTTAGAACAGAGGTATAATTTCAAAGCCAAATGCTTTGGAGAAATAGGACCTTATAAGGTACTGAGAAGGCTCTGTCTTTTGTTCTTACCCGTTCCTGTGATGTCTGGTAGCGAAGATGAAGAGCTGTTGGGTCCCAATCCACAGCAATATAAGCATTTCCAATGAAAGCTCTGTCTTCAGCACAATCAATTTTACAGCCTCGGCAAAATCTAAAGATAAATAAAAATTTGGTGAAAAAAGAGAAACTGTGAAGGAACTTAGTTTTCAGGTTATAAAGGTTCATCTTCTGCCTCTACACTTTCTTTCTTCACTTGTAATTTGTTAACAGTCTTAACAGACTACTGACAACTGCAAGATCATTTAACATTAGATTACCAAAATATGTAGCAATCATCTGGTAAACGAAATAAAAACATGAAATCTAAGAAAAGCAAATGAGAGGACAGCTGAACTGGAATACATCTGAAGCAGAACAGCCCTGAAGCAAACTTTACATTCTGCTGCTTAATTCTCTGAAACAGAAGGACTTATTTAGTACTAGCAATACTATTTTATAAATATGGAAACAGACATGTCAAACAGTATACCTAATATAAGTTAACAACAGAGTCAGGGGCTAAACTAGGGCCTCTGTTTCCTAGCATATACTTAGTTTGCTAAATCTATATTTATATAACAAGGTGATACTTACATAACAAGGTGATTTTCTTATCTATCAGTTTAATTTTTAAATTTCTTTGGACTAGTAACATTAAAACAATCCCTCTACATCCTACCAAATGTAGGATGTAAAAGTAGTCTCTTGAATAGGTCTGGGTAGTAATGCTGTTTGCTAAACTAACATAAGCTTGAGAATAAAAAGTGAAGTGGGTCGAACAATGATCTCACAATATTAATTTGTCACAAAAGCAATCTGTCCCTGCATGTCAGCACAGATTGCAAGGATGGATTGATGAGTGGTCCTTAAGCTTAATTCAAGTTTCTCATTGCTTACTATTAACCTCTGAAACCTTGAAGCCTATTAAAAACTTATAATCTGAAGTGGTCACTCTGCATATCCTTTCACTGGGTAGCAAGAGGGACAACTTACCTGTACCACGGACACCAAGCACAGGAGTTTCCATCCTTCTGCACAACTCTTAGTGTGAATGGATACTGATACCCCATGCTGTCATCACTAAAACAGAACACAGAAACACACACAACATAAGAACTGTTCTGGTTTTCTGTCCAACTCCTCCCTATCTTCCTGTGGACTAACAATTAGAGGAGATATTTGTCAGAAAAAGCAAGACAACTCCTTTAGTCCTATTAAAGTAGTAGGGCATGGCATGGCATTCAAGTTCATGGCTCAATGAAGCTCACTCCAAACCAACAATTACTTAATGGCTTAGAAACTGTAGTACAGTTCCAGTTACATTTGACAGTGAGACTGTAATGTTTGTTTTATAAGCTAGCTTAGCAGGCCAACCACATTAAGCTGTAACCATTTATGTGCAAGGCAGTCTAGGCAAATATTATGTACTGAATCAATCACCCAGTTCTACAACAATCAATCTATCAAGACAGATTAAATTCATATTAGAGCAAAGCTGATAAAACCTTTCATGACAAGGGCAGTAAAACACTATAGAAAGCTGGAAATAAAGCTATTTATGAAGGTGCTTGTTAACTCTTTACACTCAGAAGCCCTTCTGTTATAAATGGCAAGAGAAGTTTTGAATCATTGCTAGTATGTGTATTCCTCTTAAGTTTCTGTAGGTTTACATTGCAGTAATATTAGGGTACAGTTAGGTCTAGTGTAATTTTGGAGTATGCAAGGACACTGGCATGTTGAAGCTGGTTTGTCCTTTGCCTACTTTTACTGATATCCAAACAAAACAACCCCTTTTCTGGTGATGAGGACACGGTCCTGTTAAAGCCGGACAACTCAAGCACTAGGCCTAATACACTTTATAGCTCCATAATCAAAGTTGCTGAAGAGTACCTGCTGTGTAAAGACAAAACGATGTATGGCAATCTGACCAAAACATGAAAAAAACAGACAATACTGAGGATAAGGAGAGCTGAATTCCAGTCCTCGTTCTGGCTCTACACATTATGTGACCATGGGCAAATCACGTTATCTCCACAGGCCTTAGATTGCTCATTAGAATGAACGGGTCAGATAATTTTATCTCTAAGATCATTCCAGCTCTTACATTTTATGATTTTGAGGGTACCCTTCTTCTAAAGAAAAAAAGCAGGGAGGCGGAATCAACATGGCAGAGTAAAAGCAGGGACTCGTTTAAGTTCTCCCCCAAACCCCTCCAAATACTTGTAAAAAATGACTCAACAAATTCTAGAGCAGCAGAGCCCACAAAAAGACAGAGTGAAACAAATTTCCAGCCCAAGACAACCTGGATGGTCAACAGGAAAGGTCTGTTGTGCCAGGCTGGGAGAGGAGCTCAGTTCAGTGTGGGCAATGCAGGCAAAGACCCGGCCTCAGTGAACCTGGAGCAGGCCTCAGGAGACTGAATCAAGGAGAGCTGCGGTGGTTTCCAGATTTCCCAACCCACAAACGCCAAAGACAACTTAGAAGGTCAGTGGGAAAAGTCTGTCGGACCGGGGTGACAGAGGAGTGTGGTCCACCCCTGGCCCCAGCACAGCCCCAGGGCGGCAGCCACAACAGCAACTGTTGCTTCCGGAGCTCTCAACCCACAGAGAGTGGCTGATCAGAGCGGGATTGCAGGGATCTCTTTGCGGGCTCTGAGGCAGGATTCTCTTGCTTTCCCTGTGCTTGGATCTGCGTCCAGTCCCGGGTGGCAGTCTTAGGGCGAAGAGGAACACTGGCATAGCAGAGCTTGTGGCAGCAGTGGAGAGGGAATCCTCCTCACAGTTCCACGGCAGAACAGAGTGCTTATGGTCACTCAAACACCAGTGCACAGGCCAGGAAACGAGTAAACACCTCTCTTTAGATTATACTACCTTGGAAGAACTGAAAACTTATAGGCCCTTAGAAGTATCTCTGAAAACAGCTGCACAAAACCCATGAAGCTTAGGATAGTACACCCTCCACACTGGAAGCAGAGCCTACCTTAACAAAGAGTTAAAAAGTCAAAGAACTGTCTGGGAAGATGATCAAACAGAAGAAAAAAAGAGACTACAGAATCTTACTTCGGTGATAAGGAAGATCAAAACATACAACCAGAAGTCAACAAAGTCAAAGCTCTTACATCCAGAACCCCCAAGAAAAATATGAATTGGTCTCAGGCCATGAAGAGCTCAAAAAGGATTTTGAAAATCAAGTTAAGAGAAGTAGAGGAAAAATTGGGAATAGAAATGAGTGATGCAAGAAAATCATGAAAAACGAGTCAACAGTTTGCTAAAGGAGACCCCCCAAAATACTGAAGAAAATAATATCTTAAAAAACTATGGCAAAAGAGGTCCAAAAAGCCAATGAGAAGAATGCATTAAAAAGCAGAATTGGGCAGATGGAAAAAGAGGTCCAAAAGCTCACTGAGGAAAATAATTCCGTGAAATTATAAACAAAACCAAAAAAATGAAAAAAATAGAAGACAATGTGAAATATTTCCCTGGAAAAACAACTGACCTCGAAAATAGATCCAGGAGAGATAATTTAAAAATTATTGGACTACCTGAAAGCCATGATCAAAAGCACCATCTTTCAAGAAATTATCAAGGAAAACTGCCCTGATATTCTAGAACCAGAGGGTAAAATAAAAATGGAAAGAATCCACAAATCACCTCTTGAAAGAGATCCCAAAAGGAAAACTCCCAGGAATAGTATAGCCAAATTCCAGAGTTCCCAGGTCAAGGAGAAAATATTGCAAAGCAGCCAGAAAGAAACAATTCAAGTATTGTGGAAACAAAATCAGGATAACACAAGATTTAGCAGCTCTACATTAAGGGATTGAAGGGCTTGGAATATGATATTCTGGAGGTCAAAGGAGCTAGGTTTAAAACCAAGAATCACCTACCCAGCAAAACTGAGCGTAATCAATGAGGGGAAAAAATTTACATTCAATGATGTAGATGAATTTAATGTATTCTTCAGAAGCCAGAGCTAAATAGGAAAACTGACTTTCAAATACAAGACTCAAGAGAAGCATGAAAAGGTAAACAGGCAAGAGAAATCACAAGGGACTTATTAAAGTTGAACTGTTTACGTTGGTACATGGAAAGATGATATTTGTAACTCTTGAGACCTTTCTCAGTATTAGCGTAGTTGGAGAGAATATATATTGACAGAGGGCACAGTGTAAGTTGAATATGAAGGGATGATATCTGAAAAAGAAAATTAAAGGGTGAGAGAGGAATGTACTGGGAGAAGGAGAAAGTGAGCAGTAGAATGAGGTACATTATCTCACATAAAAGAGGCAAGAAAAAGCTTTTATAGTAGAGGGAAAGAGTGGGGGAGGTGAGAAGGAATGAGTGAACCGTACTCCCATCAGATTTGGCATAAGGAGGGAATAACATACACACCCAATTGGGTATGGAAACCTATCTTACCCTACAGGAAAGTAGAGGGGAAGGGGATAAGAGAGGCAGGGGTGATAGAAAGGAGAGAAGATTGGATGAGGGGGTAATCAGAAGCAAACACTTTTGAGGAGGGACAGGGACAAAGAGAGAATAGAATAAACAGGGACCGGGATAGGATGGAGGGAAATATAGTCTTTCACAACATGACTATTATGGAAATGTTTTGCATGACTACACACGTATGGCCTATGTGGAATTGCTTGCCTTCTCAATGAGGGTGGGTAGAAAGACAAGAGGATAGAATTTAGAACTTAGAATTTAGAAGTTTTAGAAATGAATGTTAGAAATTGTTTCTGCATGAGACTGGGAAACAAGATATACAGGCAAAGGAGTACAGAAATCCATCTTACCCCACAGCAAAATAGAAGGGGAAGGGGATGGTGGGGGGCATGGGGAGGGGGCGGTGGGGAGGGGAAATAGAAGGGAAAACAGATCAGGTGAAGGGTGAATCAGAATGCAGGCCATCATGGGGTGGGAGGAGGGGGGGATGGGAAGAAAATCTGGAACTCAAAATCCTGTGGAAGTGAATGTTGAAAACTAAAAATAAATAAATAAATTGGGAGGGAGGGAAGCATCACGTGGTAGAAAAGTTATACTAGATCATCAATTTATCTAACTTATTTACTCTCTCCACCAGGAAGTGCATAGGGAATAAGACAGACAAACCAAAACACTTTTTAAGATTCATTTGACATAATTTTTTACTTTTGCTTGGCTATTTCATCATCTGATGAAGGGCAGATTTATAGCAGCAAATTTTACATCACAGCAAGGACAAAACTAAAGCACCATATCTAGGTCTGGCCATGGTAACTGATCATCAAAACCCTATAGCAGAGAGAAATTAGATAAGAGACAAAAGGGAACAAATGGACTTGAAAGTAACTACCAAACCCAAATTGTTCCAAGGGGGTAGTTCTGTTTGAAGAGTCCAAAGTTCCTTGAAAAACATTCCAAACAGGTGGAGATCAGTCAAAATGTCAAGGGGCTGACTAAAGTAAATTTCCTTCTTTAGGGAAATTAACCTGTTTTCAAGTTATTTCCTTATTTAATGGAAGGAACAAAGCTGGCAACTAGGAGGTGTGCTGATGTTCGAGTTTGCTCTTTTTGGTTATTATTCCATTTTTGTTTTTTTTTTAATCTATATATCAAACATAAATTAAAATTCTTATCTTTTCTAGTGATATAATTTTGGATATGTCTATTTTCTCCACTCTGACTCACTCTTTAAGAACTTTAATTAGTAAGCCCTTTCCTAACAGATCTTGGCCATTAATAAGCTTTTATACCTCAAAGTATAGAAGCTGTTAAAGTAACTTAAGAACCAGTAATAGCTTTAATTTGAAGACTTTATTGACATAAAATTACTTTAGAGCTGGAAGAGATCTTTAAGACCATCTAGTCTAGGGGTTCTTGATCTTTTTTTTGTGTGTCATGTAACCCTTTGGCAGTCTGGTGAAACCTATGGACCCCTTTTCAGTATGTTTTTAAATGCATATAATTCATAGGATGAAAAGGAAAGAAATTATACTAAAATACAGTTATCAAATGATTTTTCTGAAAACTCATAGACCCCAGGTTAAGAACTCTTGACAATCCTCTGACTTCACAGATGAGAGAACTGAGGTATAGAGA